CCCTCAGCGCTGGCTCAGCCCGACTCTTCAACCCCCCCAGGGATCCCGGGGACTCCCCCCTGCCCTGGGCAGCCCATTCCAACGCCCAACAGCCCCTTCTGCACAGAAATCCTTCCTCAGAGCCAGCCTGACCCTGCCCTGGGCAGCTTGAGGCCATTCCCTCGGGGCCTGGCGCTGGGGCCTTGGCTCCAGAGACTCATCCCCCCTCTCTGCCCCCTCCTGGCAGGGAGTTGCCGAGGGCCAGGAGGTCTCCCCTCAGCCTCCTCTGCTCCAGAAACCATTGTACCTCTGGATTTAAGACAGATACACTTCTTAGACCTGCATCTTCTTGCAGATGTAGAATAGTCCATTTAAACCAGGATTGTAGGAATTCTTCAACTAAAGCAGGTTGGCAGTATTCACCGCAGTGTAAAATGTTGAGAGCTGCAGCCAGTTTTGCACATATTTTTAAATATATCTTGGTGATGAAGTGTAAACCAGTAGTTAGTAAGTTCTGTCTCTACATTGCTGTATTTTTGGTCACTGGTTTCCATATCAAACTCGGTGGTCACGCGTGGCGGGCAGAGGTTGTGAATATTTCTTTGTTTTCTGTCTCTGCAGGCCTTGTTTGTGTTCTGTGGGCTCATCACGGGCTGCTATTGCTGTTGCTGTCTGTGCTGTTGCTGTAATTGTTGCTGTGGGAAGTGTAAACCTAAACCTCCTGAAGGCGAAGAGCAGGAATACTATGTCTCTCCAGAGGACTTGGAGGCACAGTTGCAGTCAGATGAAAGGGGTAGGTAAAAACACTGGGGGATTTCTGGAATAACCATCAGTGGTGGAGGAGCAGCACTAGCTGTGCGGAGATCAGGGCAGGTCTGGCGCCGGGGGGTGACGGGCGGGGGATACTTGCGGCACAGGAATTGGGTGGGAAACTCCAACACTGGGGGTAGAGTTGTTCAAAACTCCTGGAAGGGTCTTGATGGAAGTTGGTGGGGTCAGCTTCCAGCTTCCGGGTAGTAGGCATCACTCCCTTCCCGTGGCACTGGAGTAACGTCACCACCCAGACACTTGCGATTCCAGAAAGGGGCTTTTTTACCCCAAAGGACTGGGGGTGTTGAGGCAGTTTGTGTCAAGCGTAAAGGTAAAGGATGGCTGCCCTACGAGCTGTATCTTAACACTGTTTATGAAGATCTAGTGCTCTTTCTGTGCAGTTAAACCCATCATTTAAGAAACTGTAGAGCCTTGTGTGTGCTCTGATCGTGTTTTGAACGGGCACTGCTGGGTGGTGGGCAAGGATCAGCTGCTCTCACCTGAAGAAGGAAATATAATAAATGTCCCACGCGTAGGCTTGAGCCGAAGGGTTTTGGGCGTGGACTGAAAACCAGCAAATTATCATCGTGCTCTTAGGGGGGAGTGTAAAATCGTGGTATCCAAGTGGCGTAGGGAGGTGTAATTTACCAAAACCTGTTGATCCTGCTGGTTTTCCTTGGTGTGCTAAACCTTTTGTCTTCGCTTTGCAGAGGCCTCAGACGCACCTATTGTGATACAGCCAGCATCAGCCACAGAGACGACCCAGCTCACAGCTGACTCGCACCCCAGCTACCACACCGATGGATTTAATTAAGCTAAGGAAACACTGTAATTAGAATGGATTTAAACAAAAAAAAAAAAAAACAACCCCAAAAAAAAAACCCAACATGGCCAACTCAACACTAGAATCATGAACATTAGAAGTAGAGAATGGGGAGGGGGAATAATTCTGCCACAGTTAAGAAGGCAGCTTTCCAACCTGCCGAAAATATTTTGTAATCCCTTCAGCCTTTTGTCACCTTTCAGTGTCGTATCTTGACGATACGTGAAGTGCTGTAGCATGCAGTATTTAAAGCAGTTTAGCTACGGTCTTATTTGTTTCCTCTTTTTTTTTTTTTTCCCTTCGTTTTTTTCCCCCCCTTTTTTTTTTTTTTTATAGCATGTATGGAGTTATGTTAAATGTCTGTGGTGTAATGTATTGAGTTGTCACAATATAAGTGTGATGGAGACATTCTGCATTTTAAGCAGTGGTACTGGCCTAAAAATGAGATTTAAAAAGTTTCACAGAAGCCACCATTCTTCCGTACAGCTGAGCTCTCGAAGACCTTTAAAAGCTCATGGTTTTCATTTGAGTGCAACAAACCAATTCTTCTATTCCTCCTTGTATTCCTGCGTTGTTACCTAGACAAGTTTACAAAGCCAAGAACCAAAAAAAAAAAAATGCCAGTCCTGCAGAGCTGGAGTTCTCTTTAATGCTGGTTTTCAGCTTAAATAAATCTACCTTGAAAAATAAAAAGGGAGAGTTTCCAATCTTTGAACAGAAAATTGATGAGGCGACCTTCAGTGACAATGTAACCGCAAACAGTCGCTTGCCACAGAACCAACTGTGAACAGGCTTGTTTGGTGGTGGCGGTGGGATTTGAACTTCAAGCACAATTCTGTTTAGTTTGAGTTCAGTTGTTTTCCTGAAATGCTAAAGACCAAATAGCGCAGCTTTTTTTTTTTTTTTTTTGGAGTGCATGAGAATCTTAAAGTGAAACTGGTTAATTGGTTTTCGCTGAGCGAGTCAAATGCAGAGAGTAAGCGACAGCATAAACATTTAAAAAAAAAAATTGGTTTTTAAAAATTTGGCCTAATGACTTGAGATTTTAATAGACAAATGGAGTATTATGTGTCTTTTTTTAAAAAGCTTTTATAATACACTAGCCCTTTAATTTTCTCATGAACATCTTTGTGGAGTACTTTAGTGGATTTTTAAGAACAAAATACCTTTCTTTGTATTTATATTGTATAATTTGCACATTGTCTTGCATTTAGATTTGTTTACACCACTGTTTTTCTTTTTACTCAGAACAACTATGGGGAAACCATTGACAAGTTCCCTGTACTATCTTGAAACCAAATCATATCTGAATACTGCTCTAGAAACTGGTTTGTTGAGATTTAACTGTCTAAAAAGAAGAGAAAAAAAAAAATCATTTTAGGCAGCTGCTGAATTGCTGGTATATTTTGTTGTTAATAATCCTGCTTTAGAGGATACAGAGTCAGGATCTAGAACAGCTACCAGAAGATCTACACTTGGCACTTTTAGCAGTTAATTACAGCCTCTTTAATTTTGATCTTTATGGTTTTATATCACAATGCCTCTGCTGTCCTTTGTATTCCCCCTGTCTCCCCTTTTCAGTTTTCACCTGTTGTTGTTGTTGAGAGGCTATTTACAGCCTTCCACCTGGTATTTGCTGCTCTTTTACAAGATCCAGGTGTTACTTCAGAACGGGTAAAGCACTGTCAGTCTGGAAGAAAACCACCAGAAAAAGAAGGGGACTCTCCTGCCGGAGAATTGTTCTGAAGATACCAGAACGCTATCTTTGCGTGAGCTGAAAATGATGGGCCCGCACAAAACGCGACATGAAACCGCGTTGAACGCGCTGGGTAGAAGAACACGGTCTCGATGCGAAGCGAGGGGGGGGCGTTTGCAAAATCAGACTTTGCCGTAGCTGTTGGTACAAGCGTACCCTTGTTGCCTGCACGTGAGCTTGTTGCAGATAAGCACGATCCTGACACCACATCAGGGGTCCCCAGAATTCAAAACGAAATGTTACTTTTAATTGACTGGCTAGATTTTAGTAGCACACTTACTTCTTCCTTGTCGATAGTCCTTTTAGACCTGAAATTGGTGACTTACTGGAAGATACTTCTTTTTTTTTTTTTTTATCTGGAAAACTCTTGGGCGGCCTTGAGGACAGGCGTGTATGGTTTAGCTTGAGGTCCTTATTTAATTAAAGTCTTTGTTTGACCCGTTGGAATGAAATGAAAAGCAGTTTTTTAGGCTTAAAAAAACCAAAAAAGCTCATATCAACTGTTCTTGATGTCAAATTGCACGCTGGAATATGCCTGAATATCTGCAGGCTTTCTCCTCTCGAAACTCAGTGGTTAAAATAGCCCTTATCTGCGCAAATTATTCTTAGTTAAAAAAAAAAATAAAATTGTTAGGGGTTTTTTTTTGGGGGGCTTTGTAAACGAGCATAGTTGACCAGGGTGACTCGTTAGAGTGAGGAAGAGGCTGTTCCCTGCGTGCCGTGGTTTGCCATCCTCCATCTCCCCACCTTCACCTCACACAAAACCAGTCGTTACCGTTGTTGCTCCACCGCGGAGCAGCTGTGACCCCCGATACTGGGGGCTGGTTGTCGGCCTTAATTTGGAATAATACTCTTTATTTCTCAACCTCTCTGGGCTACTTATACGGAACTTCGAAAGGCTGGTGGGAGGTGGGGGGGTTGCTCTGCAGGCTCCAGACATCGGGACTGAAACGTGGGCAGCGAGGGAGGGTTAGAGGCGATGCCGTTACCTGTGTTCTGTGCTGCTTGGGGAAAGGTGACAGCCGGGATAAATTTCCTGGCTTAGTTCTTCGCTTAGCAAGGCAGGAGTTTGAGAGGGACTGCTTTCCCTTCAGCTGTGTCTGTGGGCGCTGCGTGAACAGTAAATTAGTCTCTTATCTGCCAGAACGATGTTAGATGCTCCAAGGGAAACTGCGCTGAGATCCCAGAATGACAGGAAAACACGTTTTTAGATTAATATTCACTCTTTTAAGTTTGCCCGTGTTACATTAATTTCTGAATTTAAAATTAACATGTATTAATGTAGATCTTGAAGCAAGCTATTTAAACATGGCTTCTTTAAAACTCGTGTCGCCAGAAGATAGGTTAATGCCCACCTTTGTTTCCAGCTCTTGTAGGCCAGGTACAAGAGTATCCCGGCTCTAACTTGAGTTGCACTTCAGCATCGCCAAGCTCAATCCTTGTAAACACAAGGACTGAGCGGTTAAAAGCCCGGTGCAGAGGGTCACTCGGGGGTGTGGAGCTGTGGTGTCCCCTCCCGAGCTGCACAGCGCTGCAGCCCGTTCCCTGCCTTACATGCAAAATGTTTCCTTCCAAAATTAAACCTGAGCACTGTTGATCTCTGTTCAGCGCGTTGCCAGAATTAAAACTTGAGCTTTGGTTTTGATTTTTTTTTTTTTTTAATGTGGTTTTCGTTTCTTAAAAGTTGTATCATTTTTTTACAAGTTGCCTGAGACCTCTGTTTCAGTCGTTGAGCCAACTCCCTCTAGCTCATCAAACCTCTTCAGCACCAGGTTATTTTAGCACTTGTAGCTCCTCCTGACGAGGAGTATCGGGGAGAATCTGCTCTGCAGAGCTTCTGCTGGCTGGCGTTAAGGACCACTGACTGTTCCTGAGCTGTACTGTGTGGAGAACAGCTTGTAGCTTGGGGGGGGGAGCAGGGAGAGCTCGGGGGGGGAGGGCCCGGAGGAGGAGGAGGAGGTGCTGGAGGTGCTGGACCTGCCCGGTCCTCCCTGGAGATGGGGAAATCCCCAACGCACTGTCATAGAAACGCTTCACTTGAAGTGAATGAAGGGGCATTGCACCCGTTAAATGCCAGTTTCGTTTTGTTCGTGATGTTTGTAGGAAATTCTTAAATATTTATCTGTATATAAATTTGTTCCCGTAAACCCCGGTGGCGTCCCATAGGGTGTAGATTTCTGCTGATTCCACGCAGTGATGTTTTAGAGCCATGTTACCTTTTTAGTCTTTAATTTTTTTAGATTTGTAACATTTTTAAACTGCTTTAGATATTAGCGCTCATAGTGTTCTTAAAAACGTGATGCTCTTGGAGGTTCAGGTGAGCACAGCCCGCAGAAAGAGGCGGGAGGAAGGCTGGAAACACCGAGTCCTGCCGCAGGGCTCTGCTCGGGGGAGTAGAGTTTCCAAAACCCTTCGTGTCAGCCTGTAAAACGCGACGGCTGTAACCGGGGCAGGAGCCTGACTGCAGAGATATTCCTGTCCCATCCGTGAAGCGGTTCTGTGGTGCGGTGTGGAGGGACGCCAGCGTGCTGTGGGGATGGGGGGGTGTTAGATCAGAGCATTTGTACCGTGTGTGTGTTCCCTGAGAGAGGTACCTGCGTTTCTCACCTTTGTCCGCTGCCCTTGGGCGTTCTGGACATTTCCAGATAATTTTGGAGATGTGTTTGTGCTGGCAGGTTTTTCTACCCGATGCGACTGGGCACCGGCGTCACGTTTATCAGGACGCTCTTGCAAGGTGGCCGGGGAGGCTTTTGCACCCCCTGCCTCATGTTAATAATTCTGGATGCTGTTTAAATCCGTGTTAACCTTCGAGCACTGAAACGTAACCCCCCCAGCACAAGTGCTTATCGCGTAAGGTCGGTATAAACTTAACATGCTTCATCATTTGATGCTGCTTCTCTGTATCCTAGTGGAAATCATCTAGCTCGCAGTGTATTATTGCACCGACAACTGCTTAAAATATCCCGAGCGAAATGTTAACTGATAGGTAACAAGGTGGCAGGAAATCTGTCAGCGTTCACGTCCTGCAAGAACCGGGGCCCGCTCCGCGTCCTGCCTCGGGAGGCTCGCGTGCTCTCTGGGACTCGGCCAGACTGAAATTCCCATTTCCTTCCAAGAAGATGCTTTCTTTACCAGGAGAAACGGCGTGGGGGAAGCTGTCTGACGTTTGCACAAGCCAAATGCCATAAACCTGGAAGACAAACCTTCGTTCGGAAATCAGATGCCAACGTTACATGCGCAGTTAATTTTGTTGTCGAAAGGTTAGAGGCTGGGAATTTCTGGTGGTTTTTTATATATATATATATATATATATATGTATATGTATAGAGGAAGCTCTTATATAAAGTGGCCATTCATTCTCGAGTGCTGTTGTCTTTGCTCCCTCTGCCCCACAGGCAGCCGTGTGGGTGTTCTCTCGCAGTCTGTCAGCGGTTGCTTGTCATCCCCTTCCAAAAATTCAATGATCTACTTGCATTCCACGAGCTGCCCCTTGTCCCCAGCCCCTGCGGCCGGCGCTGGGCTCTGCCTGCCCCAACCTTCCCTTGGAGGAAGGAAAGGAGTCGCAGTGGTGAGGAGGAGGGCAGGGGCCGTCTCTGGAGTGACTTGCGTTGGGGCGGAGGCTGGTTTCCACGTGGTGGACGTGCTCGTCGCTCGAGGTGTGATAGAACACATTGGTTTGGGGTTTGTGTTTTTTCCTTCGTTTTCACTCCGTTGTACTTTTCCAAAGTGGGACTCGGTGAGCTCAGAGAGCAAGGGCCAAACCCGCGCTGGAGGCTTTGGATTGCAACATCATGTGTGTGTATGTATGTATATATGCACATATGTATATATTTATACAACAGGTGTGCACCTCGTACTTGCTGCTGTTTTTTCTTTGGTGGTAAAAACACGAAATTTGGCTCGAAGTACTGCTGTGAACTCTCAGCCAGGTGAGCGGAAGGTGTGAGTTTTGCCTGTCCAGAATTGTGGTTTTTTTCCTTTTGGCTTCAGGGGGAAAAAAAAAAAAACAAAACCAACCAAACAAGGTCTGTCAGGTGAAATGGCTGGTGGAAGAGGCGCTGGAAGGATCCTGTTGTATAAATAAATGGGTGGTACCGGCGGGAGAGCTGGGCTGCTGGGGAAGGAAAAGCAATTTGCTGCTGCCAGGCTCTTCCCTCCTCGCTCGGGAGTTCAGGGCTGCGCGGCGCGCCGCAGGTTGGCTCCGTGAGGACTCGGGGTGCTTGCGGGCCGTAGCGGTGAGGCTGGGCTGCGATCGGGGCGCTCCTGGTTGTGCTGGGCCGAGCCCACGGCCGTCCCCCCGCTCTGGCCTTTCGCTGCGGGGGCTGTTGCCTGATGCACAAAACCCCGGGGGTTGCTGCCGGGCAGTATCGGGGGGATTCGTGGATCGCTCGCGCGGTCGGAGTTCTGGTTGTGTCCGTCGTGGTGGATGAACTCTGAGGTTTGCCAAGTCCCAGGCGCTCGCTGTTTCCTCGCCAGAGCCGGGTGCTGCCCGTCCTTCCCCTCATCCCACCTTCCCCCGCTTTTCTGGGGCTGGGTGTGGACGCTTTGGTTCGTGTTTTCGCAGACAGCCGAGGCGGTTTATATTCATTTTGCATGTGAGCAAGGCCCTAAACTAAGTAATTCATGGTGGGGTTCGGTTGGATCGGCCTCTTCAGGCAGCCTGAGGGAGCTGAGGGTGCCGGGAGAGGATGCGTTCAGCGTTTGCACTGCACTTGGGGTGGGCTGGGGGGAGCCCATCTTTAAAAAAGGAAAAAAAAAAAAAAAAAGATTAAAAAAAAAAAACCAACCAACCCACAATCGAAGTATAAATGCATCTGAGAAGCAATTATAATATAGACATATATATATTTTGTTATGTTACTAAAGGACCATACTTTGAATTGTATGTAAGTAGATGTGGCTGTCTGAACCTTGTGGATTGTAACACTCGATACTACTGAGCTCCTGTACATACACGCAGTTACAGCAGAAGGAATTATTTTATGTTTTAGCATGGTAATTTGTGTATTGTATGTCCGAATATAAACTAAAATAAAGATTGCTAAGTTATCGGAAACCACTGTTGTAAAATAAATGTTTTCAACGCAGAAACACGCGTTGGGGTGGTTTGGTTTTTTTTCTTCCTGCCTCTGGGTGCTGGAACTGGTCCCAGGAAGGGCTGTGTGGGGTGTCGGGGGGGACGGGGCAGAGCTCCGGGCTCCCCTGCTGTCCCTCCCCGGTCCAGGTACGTCACACAGCTCCGGGGGGGTGTGGGGTCCCCGGGGCAGGGACTGCACCTGCTGAAACCGCCACTGCATCCCTCGCCGAAAGCCGGGGTTTGGCTCCTCCACCGTGAGCGGCCGCAGCCTCGCTTGGACAAGGTGCTGCTGGGGGGAGGGAGAAGCTGCGGGGACAGAGACCCCGGGAAAAGCGGGGCCGGGGGCTGCAGGGTCCGGCCGGGTTGGGTGCACGAGGCTGCGCCAAAGCTTTTCTCTTGGGGGAGTGTTCCCCCGCAGCACCCACCTCCCCTGCCCTCCCGGCACCGGCTGAGCTTTTACCGATTTCTGCCCCCTCTCCCGTGTCCCCGGGCTGCCAGAGGTCCTGTCTGTCCCTGTGCCCACCCCAGGGTGGTCGCGCAGGGCCGGGATGGCTGAGCTGGCCGAGGGGGGGACACACACCGAGGACCCCGCGGGTTGCAGAGGGCTGTGCGTGGCACCGGGGCGCTTCTCCTCCTCCTCCCGGGGGCTGCAGCAGAGCAAACGCTCCCACCACGATGGTCTGGGAGCTCAGGGAGGGGGCCCGGCCTCCCGGGGGGGTGTGTGATGCTCTTGCTGGTGATGCTCAGTCGGGAAAGCTCTTACACGGATGCTCGTGTGTCCCCCCCCGAGAGTCACCAAGCTCGGGTTTTGTTACACCTCGTCCCAGAGCCCAGCTGTGACACTAAAAGGCTCAGACTTGCTTTCGGGGCCCTTCGCAGCAACACTGGGGGGAGGAAAAGCCCCGACCGGGTCTCGGGGTGCAGGTCCCAGCTGGGGGTTGGAGCAAAGCCCGTTTGTAAGAGCCGTGGTGTCCCCCAGAGAGGAATGTCCCCTGCAGCCCCCCACGCCCCCGGCTGTCCCCCCGCGTGTCCCAGGCCATTCCCCGAGCACTTGTCCTGCCTGAGGCTGCTGCTGCACCCTGCGAGCAGCAGAAATCCTCCTCCTCCTCCTGCCAGGTCTGGGGGCCTCAGCTCACTGCTCTGAGACCCCCCTCCCGCCCCAGCGAGGCCCCAGCTTTCAGCAGGGGGTTAAAAAGTGGTTCTGAGCCGCTCCTGCTGCCTCAGGCTGTGTCATTGCCTCTGGTTTAACAAACTGTTCCTCCCTTTCCTTGCAGTAATTACTGCTTTTATGTATTCCTCACCTTTTCTCTATAATGGGAGAAAATGTAGCTTTACAGAAAAAAAAACAAAAAAACCAAACCAGCCCAGCCCACAAAGCGAGCCCAGCGCATTAGCAGTGCGAGGAGCTTTGTCCCACGTAACCACCAGCCTCAGAGGGGATCAGCCCTGGGCTGGGGGACCCAGCACGGCTCTCCGGGGTGGGTTGGGTTGCTGACACCAAAGCTGCTGCTCGTGCAGCCCTGGGAGGAGGATGAGGGACCTGCAGGCCCCTGGTGTCTGCCTGTGTGGGTGACGGTGATGGCTTCATGGGTGATGGCGATCCCTCACAGGTGATGGGTTCACGGATGATGTTGATCACTCACGGGTGACAGTGATGGGTTTGTGGGTGATGGGTGATCAGTCATGGGTCATGGTGACGGCTCCATGGGTGATGCTGATCACTCACGGGTGATGATGATGGGTTCATGGATGATAGTGACCACTCATGGGTGATGGTGATGGGCTTGTGGGTGATGGGTGATCAGTCATGGGTCATGGTGACGGCTTCATGGGTGATGTTGATCACTTACGGGTGACGGTGATGGGTTCACGGGTGATGGTGACAACTCATAGGTGATGATGATGGCTTCATGGGTGATGCTGAACACTCACAGGTGATGGTGACCCCTCCCAGGCCGCCAACAGGCTGCGGTAGGACACAACCCCGGGGGCAGGGTCTGAGCAACCCTGGGAGGGGAACGGATCCTCGCTCTCCACTTTGCTGCAACATCCCTCAGGTCAAAGCATCCCCCCCCAAATCCTTTTGTCTGTGTAGGGGATGGATCCAGAGGGCCAAACATCCAGGATTTTGGGGTGGAGGAAAGTCACTTTTGCCAACTTTATGTTGGGGGGGGGGGG